GCAGCTCTGTAAAGAACTGGCCTGCCTGGCATAGCCTGGCTGGGTGCATGTGTCTGCAGTAGGGCTTTTGCACTAATACCGATGACTTTAAAAGAGTACTGACAGCTTATATGGGTGGTGTCAGGATGGGATGCATTAAAGACTCTTAGACAAAATGGATGTAGTGTGCCTCCAGACTGGATGAAGCCATGAGCAATGTGGGGTGACCCTGCTTGGAGGTGGAGGTTAGGCTGGAGACTTCCTGAGGTACATTCCAAAATGAATTGTGTTGTGTAGGGTGACATGGCTGTGATATGCCGCTGGTGGGGTTGCCAGCAGGAGCTCTGCTTGCAGGGTGGACATGAGCAGCAGTCTCCTCAGTCTCCTCTGGTGCAGTGGTCACTGGGTTGGTCAAAAGGACAGACAGAAAGGTCCCCAAGAGCAGTAGCTGGGTGCACAGGCTGTTTCCATTGCCTGCTGTAGGGCTTGTATGTGGCTGGGCTCTCCTGGCACTGCCTGTGGCAGCAGCCCTGTGTCTGGTGAGCAGCAGGGCAGTGTGCAGGTGCTCTTCCTCACTCGCAGCCTGATGAAGCACAGCCAGCTTAGGCAAGCTTGTTGTGAGGACTGCCCTGCTCATAAAGGTTTGGTGTGAAAACAGAGTGGGCTTTTTTATGACTTTGCCTGTGGGTATCAGCATGGGTTGCTCTTTACCTCACTTTTCCATTTAAAGGAGTTGGAATGGTGGGTTTGTAATAGCTTTGGCATTCCTATTCTGGCACCCTTGGTGTATTTGCAGCAGCAGGAGGGATGCTGTCCCAGGGGACTCTGACAGGACTGAAGTGGCCAGGGCTTCGGAAGAGTGTGTTGACTATCCCACTGTCTCTGCAGGCAGAAGTTCCCCTCCAGCCTTGTCTGCAGAGAGCCAGTAACTGCTGGGCTGTGCTCTTTTCTCCTGCCTTCAGTGTCTGTTAGGGAGAGACCTGTGTGCAAGGTGGTTGCTGGTTGCCTTCCAGTACTGTGTTGTTCCGAGTACTCTGTTAATTCCTTCTGCATCCTCTCACCATGGTCCCCTCCACAGTGCTTGGAAACACACTGACCAGTCTGCAGGGGACTTGCAGATGCTTTTCTGCAGAGCAGATGAGAACAGTTGGATGGAACTTGTCAATCCTATTGATCCTCTTGCTGATTTCTCCATGTTCCTTCTGCTGGCATGTCAATTCATGGTATCATGAGCAATTTCAAATGCTGTGGGGACAATTCAAGGTCAGCTAGCTTTCGATAACTGCCTGAATGTCAAACATCACCAGGATGCAGATAGTAATTTCCCTGATGAGCATGGCCAGGATCAAGTCCCTGAAATGCTGTGGCAGGGTCGCTCTTGCAGCTTTCCTGTGACTCTGTAGTTCTCTCACACAGCATCCTTGTCCGGGCTACCCCAGATCTCTGCATCGTGAATACACCAGCCCATGCTGCTTGCTCCTCCTCAAACCTGTGTGCACCAACTGCTACAGCAGAGCCAGGTGGCTCCTGCTTTTGCTTCTTGTTATGTCCCTCTCCCTTCCTGGGGGACAGAGGTTGGCACAGAGAGCATTGTGCCTATTCTGGACCCACCACTGGCTTTGAGAAGTGCTGGCCTGCCCTAAGGGAAGGGCTGTACCCATGCCTACAGTAGTCTGGGTGATGGCACTGGCCCTGTTTCAGCTTGCTGTTGCTGGCACAAACACAGGCTGGGCAGGCATTGGATGGAGCACCCCAGGACTTGGGGTGCTGGAAGATAAGAAGCTCCCCATGACCCAGCCATGTGCGTTTGAGCCCAGAACCTGCCTGTGTGCTGGGCTGCCTCCTCAGAGTGTGAGCAGCGGGTCGAGGGAGGGGATTCTCCCTCTCTGCTCCTCTCTGGGGAGACCCCCCCTGCAGTCCTGCCTCCAGCTCTGGGGCATCAACACAAGAGGGACATGGAGCTGCTGGAGCTAGTCCAGAGGAGGCCATGGAGATACTGTGAGGGCTGGAGCAGCTCTGCTTGGAGACAGACTGAGAGAGCTGGGCTTGTTCAGCCTGGAGAAGAGAAGGCTCCTTAAGAGGAGACCTCAAAGCAGCTCCAGTGCCTAAAGGGGCTGCAAGAAAGCTGGAGAAGAGCTTTGGACAAAGGCCCATAGGGACAGGACAAGAGGGAGTGGCTTTAACCTGGCAGAGGGGAGATTGAGATGAGATTGTAGGGAGAAGTTCTTCCCTGTGAGGGTGCTGAGGCCCTGGCACAGGTTGCCCGGAGAAGCTGTGGCTGCCCCATCCCTGGCAGCGTTCAAGGCCAGCTTGGACAGGGCTTGGAGCAACGTGGTCTAGTGGAAGGTGTCCCTGCTGGTGGCAGGGGGTTGGAGCTGAAAGAGGTCCCTTCCAATCCAAATCAGGCTGGGATTCTGTAATCCGTTAGCGGGGGTTGCTGGCAACAATGCAGGAGTGAGCCTCCAGAGGTCGGCCTTGGACTGTGATGTCCAGTCCACTGGAGTGGGTGGCCTGGCCTGGAGAGGATTGCTCCTCACTGCTGTTTCTCTGGCCTTTGTTATATGTGACTAGTGTTGCTAGCAGCAACAGCAGCTGCAAGTAATGTATGTGTTCAGACACAAATGTCTGAAGCCACTGCTCTCTCCAAGCTCTGCAAGATTAGAGCTTTGCGTCTGCAAAAAATGCTTTTCCAGTTTGTCTTTAGACAGTGGGTAACTTTCCAATTATCCTCATTCAGAGGCTGTTAGGCATTTGACGCACTTTTATTTTCTGTGAGGGCTATTACCCTTTTTTCCAGCTTCAGAAATCCAGCTTCTTAGGCCTAAGATGGCTAGAGAATACTGGCCAAGTAGAAATGTGGAATGTTTCATTTAGACTTCTAAAATTTTCTTCAATCTTTTCTTTCTGAGGTTCCTTGAGGTAGGAGGAAGCCTCTGAAGACAGAAGTTCTTGCTGAGTAGCCACTCTGAGCATGGCAGGACTGTCCCTCACACCTTGTTCTGCACACAGCTAGCACCTCTGCCTGATGGAGCTAGAGATCACCTTTTCTGTGAGAGCTCACTGAGAAGGGACACCAGAGCTAGAGAGGGAAGATAGGTGCTCCTCTGGCTGTGGCCAAATGTGTCCTCTGTCAGGGAGGTGGTTCCTGTGGCAGGCAGGAGGTGAGCTCAGCCTCTGGCATAGACCCGAGCTCTGGAGCAAGCCGAGGAGCTAAGCTGGGGCATTTCACAGGATCACAGAATCCCAGCTGGTTTGGGGTGGAAGGGACCTTAAAGCTCATCTAGATCCACCCCTCTGCGACGGGCAGGGACCCCTTCCACTAGACCACATTGCTCCAAGCCCTGTCCAAGCTGGCCTTGAATACTGCCAGGGATGGGGCAGCCACGGCTTCTCTGGGCACCCTGTGCCAGGGCCTCAGCACCCTCACAGGGAAGAACTTCTCCCTAAAATCTCATCTCAGTCTCCCCTCTGTCAGGTTAAAGCCATTCCCTCTTGTCCTGTCCCTACAGGCCCTTGTCAAAAGTCCCTCTCTGGCTTTTTGCAGCCCCTTTAGGTACTGAAGCTGCTCTGAGGTCTCCCCTTAAGGAGCCTTCTCTTTTCCAGGCTGAACAATCCCAGCTCTCTCAGTCTGTCTCCAGAGCAGAGCTGCTCCAGCCCTCACAGCATCTCCATGGCTTCCTCTGGGCTTTTTCCAACAGCTCCATGTCCATCTTGTGTTGTTGCCCCAGAGCTGGAGGCAGGACTGCAGGGGGGGGTCTCCCCAGAGCGCAGTAGAGGGGCACAATCTCTTTCCACAACCTGCTGCTCATGCTCATGATGCAGCCCAGCACATGGGAAGGGCAGAGTGTTCTCCTCAACAGACCTATAAATCTCTGTTAATTGCTTTCATTACAAAGGAGGGATCTGGTTATCCTGTAAGGATCCTCCTTGTGAGCTTTATGTTTTCTGGAAGTATCTGTTGGGCTTGAGGCAGAGTTAAGAACAGCCTGGCAGGCTAAGCTGACTCTCATCCTTAGCAGCAGCATATGTAGAGACAGGCTGGGGGGTGGGCTGCTCACAGGGCTCACTTCTTTCTTCCAGCAAATGTATGCAGTGTCGCCCAGGTACATCCCTCTGAAGAACTGAAATGTGAAGATGAATTGCTAAACCTTTAAATCATTTTGTAGCTCATCACTGGAACCATCCCATTAGAAGTTTAATGCATCCTATGGATTAGCAGTGGTGGTACTGCAGAAATTAATTCATGGAGATGGAAGGAGCATTGCAATTTGCTGATCTAGCATTGGGAAAGAGCAGAGGGCTTAATTAGCAAAAGTGCTTTTAAATGGAGATGAATTTGAGGTGAAGTGAGCTGCTTCATTAAAACAATAAATCCCCAGCCCCTAGGATTCAGCCACATTGCTTGTGGAGAAAAATGAATTTGTGTTGGCCCTGGCCTCCCTGAGCTTTGTGAGGAGCTGGCTGCATCCAAGTAGCCGAATGCCTGTGCCCCTCGGCAGAACAGACGATGCCTCTGTGCTTGTGTGTGCTGGAACTATGAAGAATTCCAGCCAGGCTTTCATCTAGTCCTGCTCTTCCACAGAGGCAGCCAGCCATGCCAGCAGTAGGGACCAAGACCCCCTTGGTGACCCATGGCTGCTGGTGGCTTCGTTTGCTTCTGTATTGCTCTAGTTTTTATCCCTTATCCCACTCTAGCTTGATCTTCCTCTGACACTTGTTTGTTTATTTGGGCCTATAACATGAGGCTGGAGTCAGTGGTATTCACTGTAGCATGTCTGGATAGAGTGAAGTCTTGCACTTGGTGTCCATGCAGCAAGCTGGGACCTAAACTCTTGGTTGGAGTTCTGGCACTTTGGGGTAGTGAGGAAAGCCTTGGAAACAGTGATGGCCAAAACAATAGGAACCAAGTGAACATAGATAGGTCCTCCTGGGATGTTTCGCTCTCTCAGTGGAGCTCTGGGTGCTCTTGCTTCCCTCTCAAGTAAAGGAAGCTTGTGCTGTCTGCCCTGCTTTTATTCCAGGTGCGCAATGGCCACATCAAGCGAATCACTGACAATGACATTCAGTCTTTGGTGCTGGAGATCGAAGGAACTAATGTCAGGTAGGAGAAGGCATCTTATTCTGCCCTAATGTGCCCTGGAGCAGAGTGAAAGATGGTGGTGCCCAGCAGACATCTCCTTCAGACACTACTTCAATCTCTTTGTCAATAAATTGAAGAATCATAGTCTGGAGTCAGATGGCTGCTACCTTTCTGTGGTACTGTACCACAGTGCCTTTCCCTGGATGTGCTTGGAGAGCTCTCTGTCATCCTCAGTTTTAAAGGATAAAAAATAAAAATAAAATCCCATTTTTCCATCACTTGGGAGGGTGAAGGGGGAAGGCTGTATTTGAATCCCAGTCCCATGTCAGTGCCACCAATTCTGAGAAAGCAGCACTCTGCCTGCTACATCTTTTATTGTCTTAGGCCTGCTCTGCTGCTCTTGCCACGTGACAGCAGGAAGATCAAAGGCAGATGTATGAGGGGAGTTGGTTGTGGTCCTTCACTCCTTGTCTCCATCAGCCAAGGAGAGCGACACCAGCTCCCACCAGCAGGTTCAGCCTCTCCAGGGCTTCTCCAGGGGCCATTGGAGCAGGGAGCTCCTTATAAGGGCAGTGGAGGCTCCTCTCCTGCAGCCAGGCTGAGCCAGCACTTCCCTTCCTCCCAAGATGTGTTGATACAGAACTTGCAAGGCGTGATGTGCATGCCTAGGGCTCACCACCTCTGTGTTCCGGGCTGCACAGGGCACGCAGGGCCTCTACTGAGCTCTGGAGGGCTCTACGTGTTCAGTCAAGGGGAGGAGGAGGTTGCATTAAGAAACAGCACTGACATGGCCATGAAACTGAAGAGGTGAAGCTGTCAGGAAGGTGGTTCATGCCTGTAGTGTGAAAAGTGGGATATGAAATGCATCCTTTGTGCCTTTTATCTTGTTCTCTCTTTTATTTTGTCTACCTCTGAAGCTCTGCCTCCCATTAAAGGAAGTACTGGTTCTTGCTGAGATCTTGTCTCTTTCTGCCTGCCCTCCAGGACTGCATTAGGTCAAGGGAGAGACTTGGGACTTGGGCGTGTGTTTTGTGCTGTGTGAGATCCTAAAGCGTTTTTCTGTCCTCTCAGTACAACGTACATTACATGCCCTGCGGACCCAAAGAAGACCCTGGGCATCAAACTACCTTTCCTAGTGATGATCATCAAGAACCTGAAGAAATACTTCACATTTGAAGTACAGGTGAGGAGCGTACAGTGGGGAGTCCCCTCCAGGGAGAGGCAAGGAAGGTGTCAGGCTTGCAGTTTTATGCTGGAGCTCAACCAAGGCAGTGAGTGGTCTCCAAAACAGTTTTGCTTCCTTGGCCATGTGATCATAGAATCATGGAATAATTTGGGTTAAAGCTTACCTAGATCCAACTCCCTCCCATGGGCAGGGACACCTTCCACTGATCAGGTTGCTCCAAGCCCTGTCCAAGCTGGCCTTGAACACTGCCAGGGATGGGGCAGCCACAGCTTCCCTGGGCAACCTGTGCTAGAGCCTCAGCACCCTCACGGGAAAGAGCTTCTTCCTAAGATCTCAACTCAGTCTCCCCTCTGTCAGGTGAAAGCCATTCCCCCTTGTCCAAAGCCCCTCTTCAGGTTTCTTGTAGCCCCTTTAGGCACTGGAAGCTGCTCTGAGGTCTCCTCTTAAGGAGCCTTTTCTTCTCCAGGCTGAACAACCCCAGCTCTCTCAGCCTGTCTCCAGAGCAGAGCTGCTCCAGCCCTTGGAGCATGTTTGTAGCCTCCTCTGGATTCACTCGAGCAGTTCCACATCCCTCTGATGTGTCAGGTCTTCTGCTGTGGGGGCATCAGCCAGCTCTCAAGCACATTGTTGCTATTCCTGAAAAAGGGTCTGTTTCCTGAGTTAAAAATACTTTTGCTGTGACATGAAGGGGTGGGAGAGTCTGCTCTGAGGTGGGCAGAGCCTGAGTCTGGAAGAGCTGTTGTCCTGGGGAGCTGGGGGCCCAGGTGCCAGGTTCCGCAGCCTTCCTTCCTTGCCCCAGGTGCTGGATGATAAGAATGTTCGCCGGCGTTTCCGAGCAAGTAACTACCAGAGCACGACCCGGGTGAAGCCCTTCATCTGCACCATGCCCATGCGGCTGGACGATGGCTGGAACCAAATCCAGTTCAATCTGTCAGACTTCACACGCCGGGCCTATGGGACAAACTACATTGAGACCCTGAGAGTGCAGGTAAGCAGAGGCACATCCTGCCCACGCACACCCATGGTTCTTCCTGCCTTGCTGCAGGTTGGGAATCTGGGCTTAGTCCTGACCTGATCCTTTGCCAGTCATACTCTTTGCGAAGCAGCGTGGGAAGGAAGCAAAGACCTGGCTGAGGCAGCAAAGGTCTTGGTGCTGCATCACTTCACTGGACTAGACTGGGAGGAAGAAGCCCATTTCCATCTTGTTTCTCTTGCTGGCTGTTGGTTAGGGTAGGAGTGGCAGTCCACCTAAAGTTCCCAGCAGTGTGCGATGCATCCTGCTGGGGGAAGGTCTGCTGGGAATTAGCTGTGTACTGCCTTTCTACCCAAACAGCCACTGGATGAGTGGGAGCCTGGCTTGTACAGACCCAGAGAGGGCTGTACCATTGGCTGTAGATATCCTCGGTCAAGCTTGTTTCCTAGTGTGTGTGTAGCCTTCACTGAGGCCTTTGGACCAGAGCTGACATGTTTATTCCTGCTGAGGGCATGAAGTTCCATAAGCTAGGGACTCATGTTCCCTGTGTCCAGTGCTATGTGTTACTTTGAGGAATGCCCATGTGCAGAGTGTGTCTGTTCTTAGCGTGATGGGACTTCTGCAGTTCTGAGATGGACAGGCAGTCTGGGAAATGTCTGTCCTCTCACATAGCCATGAGGGGAACTGGAGTGACTCCTTTGCTGCCAGCTGTTTATGGAGGCAGTACAGACTGGACAGTGTCATTCCTGACCTCAGGGAGGCCCTGAAGAGGGAGTGTTAAAAATGCAGCAAGCTGAGGCTGAGAGTGTCCTGGCAAATGCTGATACTGGGGGAGAAGCAGAGGTGGGTTCACAGCAAAGGATGCTCTAAGGAACTAAGGCAGATCTCAGTTTGCAGAGATGCCAGAGCTTGGCTGAATCTCTTGAGCTAGCTTCCATCACTGGAGAGAGCAAAGTAGGGGGCATGGACCACTGTTTCTCCTCTGATGCCCTATGAGATTCGGAGAGAGGCAGTGAGGTCTCTTCTCCAGCTACTGAGCCAAGGAACCCAGGCTGCTGTGTGACAGCGCAACTGGATGTGGAAAGATCACGTGCAAATGGACTGACTCTGTTTTGACTCACAGATCCATGCCAACTGTCGCATTCGACGGGTGTACTTCTCTGACCGGCTCTACTCAGAGGATGAGCTCCCAGCTGAGTTCAAGCTGTATCTGCCAGTCCAGAACAAGGCCAAGGTGAGCTAGCCATGGGCAGGGAGGGTTGGAGCAGCAGCAGCAGCAGCTGGGCCAGGCAAGCATTCCTCTTCCTCCTCCCACTGCCTCCACAACCAGAGTTACTTCTAGCAGCTGAGCTCTTACAGCTTTGGCCATCAGCCTGGGAGCACCCTCACTGCTGCCAGGGTGAGCAGTGTGTCAGGGTGCCTCACTGAGTGGCTTTCCTGCCAAAGCACAAAGACATTGTCATTCCCATCTAGGAGCAGGGTGGGCTGTGCAGCTGTTCCCCACATGCTTCTTGTTCATGCTAAAGGGCTCTGGGCAGGGTGGCAGCCTCCCAGCATCTCTCCGGAGCTTTTACCTATGACTCAGCACAGCAGCTTTACTCTTCAGAGCTAGCTGCAGCTTCACACTTGTATTCCAGGAGAGATGCTGTTTGTGTCCCAAATTTACTCCCCTCTCATTTCTTCCGTGACAGACGCAGATGGCAGTGCTAAGATGGAAGGGGATAGGCAAGGTTGTGGCTGCCCAGCAGGAGAAGAGGCCAAGCTCTGCTCTACTGGTGATGGTAGAGGAGTCCTTGGCATATTGGCAGCAGTCTCAAGGCTTATGAGGAAGCACTCTCTTTGCCAGGACCATCTTGTCCCAGTGCAGATGCTGCTTTTAGCAGAGAAGATTTCTGGGCAGAACTTCAAGGAGCTGAGGGAGGATGCTGGGTGCTGGTCTCAGGGGAAGGTAGAAGGGAGTGTGAACAGCAGGTCACCCCTCTGGGCAGTGGCAGCCTCCCAGGAGTGTCTGGGGGGGTGCTTGGAGCCCTCCCAGTACCACTGTCTTGGTGTTGCCAAGTCTATTAAGTGTCTCCTTTCTTCTCCCTCCTCTGTCCAGCAGTAACACCATGTTGGGGAAAGATGTGAGAAATGTTTGGGGTCAGCTGGAAAACAAAAGCAGGTGGAAGAGAAGGCCCTGATGAGACCAAGTTTTAGATCAGCTCACCTTGCCTACGGTAACTTTGATTCACCTGCTATTCCTCTTCTGTACAGGACACAGTTAACAATGTAACAGCTCTGGGACTACTTTTTGGTGTGTGAGTTGTACAGAATCAGAGTTTTCTTAGCTGTTCCTGAAGTGCTGAGCCTAAACACTGCAAGTGGCTTGGTACTGATTTAGTGTTGCACAGAGAGGTTGCTCCAAGTG